GAGTCGTCAAGCACAGAAGCTCCTCAGACGGTGTGTGTGTGTGTTTCAGTCGCTCTGCTCGGCCGTGTGTGTGTGAGTCTGTGTTTCAGTCGCTGCGCTGCGTGTGTGAATCTGTGTTTCAGTCGTTCCACTCGGCCGTGTGTGTGTGAGTCTGTGTTTCAGTCATGAGTGGCGCTGGAGAAGACGGTGGACAGAGGGACGGAGCTGAAGGTGTGTGTGAGGTGAGAGACGGAGCTGAAGGTGTGTGTGAGGTGAGAGACGGAGCTGAAGGTGTGTGTGAGGTGAGAGACAGAGCTGAAAGTGTGTGTGAGACGGACCTGAAGGTGTGTGTGAGATGGAACGGAAGGTGTGTGTGAGGTGAGAGACAGAGCTGAAAGTGTGTGTGAGACGGACCTGAAGGTGTGTGTGAGACGGAGCTGAAGGTGTGTGTGAGGTGAGAGACGGAGCTGAAGGTGTGTGTGAGACGGAGCTGAAGGTGTGTGTGAGGTGAGAGACAGAGCTGAAAGTGTGTGTGAGACGGACCTGAAGGTGTGTGTGAGATGGAACGGAAGGTGTGTGTGAGGTGAGAGACGCTGACCGCAGGATCTGTGTGACCCTGACCTTCACACCGCAGCTCTCACACTGTTTGTGTGTGTGTGCGTGTGTATGTGTGTGTTCCACAGGGTTCTCCCAGAGCCGGTTCTGATCGGATCCCAGCAGCCCGTGAGGTGAGTGTGACTGAAGCCCGTCAGCAGAAACTCATTGATCTGGAGCAAATGTCAGTCGGACCTCTTGAGCTGATCGCAGGTGTAGAGCCGGTTCTGATTGGTCGATCGAGTCTGGTCCTCTGATCTGATTGGCCGATCAGTCCATCAGCAGCTCACCGCCTGCACTCATTGGTGGAGCAGAAACAGGTTTTTAAAGAACCTGTCATAAGAGACTTGTGTGTGTGTGTGTGTGTGTGTTGAACTGCAGGAGCAGAGTGAAGAAGACTCCTCAGACGAGGTGAGTCGATCAGCATCAGTAATGAATCTTTGATTCTTCACTGGTTTCTGTTGTTCGGTGTTTGCTTTGTCACGTTAAGCTCAGATCTACAGACACACACTTCATGTCTCAGACTGACAGTGTTCCCGCAAAAATATCATATCAACATTTCAGAATCAGCATGTGAATGTGTGTGTTTAAGCTCTCAAACTCCTGTGGATCAGAATCACACTCACATTCTGTATTAATGCTCGGCAACTCAACTGTTAATAGTGATTATTATTATTATAATTAATTTTTCATATGCAGCTGGAGGCGACAGACGTCACAGACGCTCAGATAAAGGTACTGGTTTATTGTGTTTTATGTATTAAATTAACACTAAGTTTTTTTATTATATTAATTATGATAATTAATTTGTTTGTATCTGCAGCTGGAGGCGACAGACGTCACAGACGCTCAGACAGAGACACTAATGGTCTGTTTTATTATGTGTTATGTATTACATACACTTTATTTATTATTATAATTAATTTGAATGGTTTTATATGAATGGTATGAAGGCGACAGAGAGTCAGACAGACGTCACAGACACTCAGATGAAGGTACTGATGTTTTAAATAAACATTATTTATTCTTATTTTTTATTTTATTAATTATCAAATATAATTAATTTGGTTGTATCTGCAGCTGGAGGCGACAGAGAGTCAGACAGACGTCACAGTCGCTCAGACGGAGATATTAATGGTCTGTTTTATGTATTAAATAGACATTTTTTTATTTTAATTTTTTTTATTAATTTTCATTATTATTAATTTGAACGGTTTCATATCCAGCTGGAGGCGACAGGCGTCACAGACACTCAGACGGAGACACTAATGGTCTGTTTTATTATGTGTTATGTATTAAATAAACATTATATGTTTTTATTTATTAATTATTATTATATTATTATTTGTATATTGTCTGCAGCTGGAGGCGACAGAGAGTCAGACAGACGCCACAGGCGCTCAGGAGATATTAATGGTCTGTTTTATGTATTAAATAGACATTATTTATTAGACAAAATACATTTTTTATTGTATTAATTTTCATCATTATTAATTTGAATGGTTTATATCCAGCTGGAGGTGACAGACGTCACAGTCGCTCAGACGGAGATATTAATGGTCTGTTTTATGTATTAAATAGACATTTTTATTAGACAAAATACATTTTTTATTGTATTAATTTTCATCATTATTAATTTGAATGGTTTATATCCAGCTGGAGGTGACAGACGTCACAGTCGCTCAGACGGAGATATTAATGGTCTGTTTTATGTATTAAATAGACATTTTTATTTTTTTATTTTTTTAAGTAATTTTTATTATTACTAATTTGAACGGTTTATATCCAGCTGGAGGCAACAGACGTCACAGACACTCAGATGAAGGTACTTATCGTCTACTTTATTATGTTTTATATATTATATTAACACATATAATATATAATAATATATATTTATATATTAATATAACAGTTTTTATTATATTAATTATGATAATTAATTTGGTTGTATCTGCAGCCGGAGGCGACAGACGTCACAGACGCTCAGACAGAGACACTAATGGTCTGTTTTATTATGTGTTATGTATTACATACACTTTATTTATTATTATAATTAATTTGAATTGTTTTATATGAATGGTATGAAGGCGACAGAGAGTCAGACAGACGTCACAGACACTCAGATGAAGGTACTGATGTTTTAAATAAACATTATTTATTGTTATTTTTTATTTTATTAATTTTCATTATTATTAATTTGAATGGTTTATATCCAGCTGGAGGCGACAGGCGTCACAGACACTCAGATGAAGGTACTGATCGTCTACTTTATATTATTAATTCATTTGTATTTTATTAATTATCACTTATAATTAATTTGGTTTTATTTGCAGCTGGAGGCGACAGAGAGTCAGACAGACGCCACAGACGCTCAGATGAAGGTACTGATGGTCTGTTTAATGTTTTATGTATTAAATAAACATTTATTATTATGAATTTGAGTGTTTTTATACGCAGCTGGAGGCGACAGGAGCTGTTTTATTATGTTTTATGAATGAGGCGTTCACACTGTTAGCAGATGTGCTGTTTCCTGTAGAAACACTAATGTGTAGAAGTGCGTCACAGCAGAATATCTGCAGGAATCCGTGCGTGAGCTTCGTGGATCTTAATGGATCTTTTTACCTGCAAAATTTCACCAATATTTGGCTAATGTGAATCTGTGAATAATGTGAAGTTTGAGATGAAGTGTGTTTGTGCTTTAACAGAAGCTGGTGAACAGCTCGCGTGTTCCTGAAACACTGGAGACTCAGCACGCTAGAGACGCCACACACCTGTGCAGTGAGGTGAGACAGGTGATCACATGACCGCCACACACCTGTGCAGTGAGGTGAGACAGGTGATCACATGACACCACACACCTGTGCAGTGAGGTGAGACAGGTGATCACATGACCGCCACACACCTGTGCAGTGAGGTGAGACAGGTGATCACATGACCGCCACACACCTGTGCAGTGAGGTGAGACAGGTGATCACATGACCGCCACACACCTGTGCAGTGAGGTGAGACAGGTGATCACATGACCGCCACACACCTGTGCAGTGAGGTGAGACAGGTGATCACATGACCGCCACACACCTGTGCAGTGAGGTGAGACAGGTGATCACATGACCGCCACACACCTGTGCAGTGAGGTGAGACAGGTGATCACATGACCGCCACACACCTGTGCAGTGAGGTGAGACAGGTGATCACATGACTGCCACACACCTGTGCAGTGAGGTGAGACAGATGATCACATGACCACCACACACCTGTGCAGTGAGGTGAGACAGGTGATCACATGACCGCCACACACCTGTGCAGTGAGGTGAGACAGATGATCACATGACCGCCACACACCTGTGCAGTGAGGTGAGACAGATGATCACATGACCGCCACACACCTGTGCAGTGAGGTGAGACAGGTGATCACATGACCGCCACACACCTGTGCAGTGAGGTGAGACAGATGATCACATGACCGCCACACACCTGTGCAGTGAGGTGAGACAGGTGATCACATGACCGCCACACACCTGTGCAGTGAGGTGAGACAGATGATCACATGACCGCCACACACCTGTGCAGTGAGGTGAGACAGATGATCACATGACCGCCACACACCTGTGCAGTGAGGTGAGACAGGTGATCACATGACCGCCACACACCTGTGCAGTGAGGTGAGACAGATGATCACATGACCCCCACACACCTGTGCAGTGAGGTGAGACAGATGATCACATGACCGCCACACACCTGTGCAGTGAGGTGAGACAGATGATCACATGACCGCCACACACCTGTGCAGTGAGGTGAGACAGGTGATCACATGACCGCCACACACCTGTGCAGTGAGGTGAGACAGATGATCACATGACCGCCACACACCTGTGCAGTGAGGTGAGACAGATGATCACATGACCGCCACACACCTGTGCAGTGAGGTGAGACAGATGATCACATGACCGCCACACACCTGTGCAGTGAGGTGAGACAGATGATCACATGACCGCCACACACCTGTGCAGTGAGGTGAGACAGATGATCACATGACCGCCACACACCTGTGCAGTGAGGTGAGACAGATGATCACATGACCGCCACACACCTGTGCAGTGAGGTGAGACAGATGATCACATGACCGCCACACACCTGTGCAGTGAGGTGAGACAGGTGATCACATGACCGCCACACACCTGTGCAGTGAGGTGAGACAGATGATCACATGACCGCCACACACCTGTGCAGTGAGGTGAGACAGATGATCACATGACCGCCACACACCTGTGCAGTGAGGTGAGACAGGTGATCACATGACCGCCACACACCTGTGCAGTGAGGTGAGACAGATGATCACATGACCGCCACACACCTGTGCAGTGAGGTGAGACAGATGATCACATGACCGCCACACACCTGTGCAGTGAGGTGAGACAGGTGATCACATGACCGCCACACACCTGTGCAGTGAGGTGAGACAGGTGATCACCAGCGCTCCTGTGGCCTTTAAACCATCGAGGTCTGAAATCAGCAGAATAGTCACTGATCTTCTTCCTCAGTGTTCATGTCTCGTTTTCCAGCACAAACATCTAAACATTCTTAAATGAAGATATATTTACTGGAGAAGCACAATGCCTGAAGATATTAAGCCTTGTTTACTGACTTTAGTTAGTTCATGTTTGTGGTCTCCTCGTGTTTCCTCTGCTGGTCAGATGCAGTATCGCGAGGAAGCACTCGGAGATCTGTGTGTGAATCTGTATTCTCTGATGCCCGACACGCGTGACACGGAGTTTGCTAGAGAGATGACGGAGCTGCAGAGTGAGGTACACACACACACACACACACACACACACACTGATGATGATGATGATGATGATGATGATGATGATGATGATTGACAGGTCAGGTACCGAGCCGATGGGAGGAAGAAGCTGTCCTCTAGTCTGTTCTCTCAGCTGCCCGACACGATGGACACGCAACACGCCAAACACATGACGGACCTGCAGAGCCACGTAACACACACTCATCACGCGTGTTCACCTGTCCGCTGTCATGTGACTGGCTGCGCTCTCACACTCCTCTCTGTGTGTCTGGCAGAATAAATACAAGGAAGCTGATAGAAAAGACGCTTCCACGTGTCTCTACACACACCTGGAAGAAACACTGGAGACAAAACATGCTAAAGAGGCGTACCAGCTACAGAGCCAGGTACACACACACACACACACACACACACACACAAGTCACCTTTATTTACACACACACACGCATGTACACACATGCATGTACATACACATACATGTACACACCAGCATGTACACACACACACACACACACACACACACACACACACGCATGTACACACAAGTCACCTTTATTTACACACACACACGCATGTACACACATGCATGTACATACACACACATGTACACACCAGCATGTACACACACACACACACACACACACACACACACAAGTCACCTTTATTTACACACACACACGCATGTACACACATGCATGTACATACACACACATGTACACACCAGCATGTACACACACACACACACACACACACACACACGCATGTACACACAAGTCACCTTTATTTACACACACACACGCATGTACACACATGCATGTACATACACACACATGTACACACCAGCATGTACACACACACACACACACGCACACACACACACACACACACACACACACACACACATGTACACACCAGCATGTACACACACACACACACACATACACGCACACACACACACACACATGTACACACCAGCATGTACACACACACACACACACGCACACACACATGTACACACAAATCAAGTCACCTTCATCTATACAGCGCTTTAACTATATAGAGTTTCACAGCAGCTTTACAGTGATAACAGGAGATTACAGTAACAGGGTTAGGCTTTACAGCAGCTCTAGAATAAAGGTATTGTCCAGCTAAAGTTACACAGTTAGCAGATGTGCCGTGTTTCTGTTTCCTGTAGAAACACACAGATGATGAAGCGGGTCACATGATCAGCTCACGTTCACAGCTTCAGTCAGACGTTTTCACTGCTGATGATCACCATGAACTGTGTTTGTGAATGTTCACGGCACTTCATCTGGAAAATGTGTTGCATCTTGAGTTTAATGGAGCTCATGTGTGGCAGAATGAGATTTCCCATCATTCTCTGTGGCAGCACACGATCACACTGATCAGACATCAGATCTAATGTGTAGAAGTGCGTCACAGCAGAATATCTGCAGGAATCTGTGCGTGAGCTTCGTGGATCTTAATGGATCTTTTTACCTGCAAAATTTCACCAACATTTGGCTAATGTGCACCTGTGAATAATGTGAAGTTGAGTTTGAGGCCTCTCTGTGTGCAGTCGAGCTCTCCTTCCATGAAATGCGAAATACCTCTAGTTTAGTTTTCTTCCAGTTTCGCTCCATGTTTCTGGCTGCTCTCTTAAGGGCCTGAGTGTGCTCGTTCTACCAGGTGATGTATGAGGAGGACAGACGTCAGGCTCTCTGTTCTCAGTGTGTGTGTGTGTGTGTGTGTGTGTGTTGTATCAGGTGATGTATAAGGACAGACAGACGTCAGACTCTCTCTTCTCTACGCTGCCCGAGACGCCGGAGATGCAGTTCGCCAGAGAGATCACAGAGACCATCAGTGAGGTGAAGCAGACGAGATGAAGGATCAGAGCAGGTTACACTGACCAGTGAAGTGTGTGACGTCTGTGTGTGACGTCTGTGTGTGTGTGTGTGTGTGTGTGTGTGTGTGCAGAATAAGTACCGCGAGCAGAGCCGGAAGAGCATCAGCTGCTGCGTTTACTCTCAGCTTCCTGAAACCGCAGAGACTCAATTCAGCAGGAGCATCTCTGAGCTGCAGAGTCAGGTATACCATCATCACCATCATCATCTTCATCATCAGGAGGAGGAGGAGGAGGCAGATGATATGGTGTGTGTGTGTGTGTGCAGGTGAAGTATAAGGCTGACGCTCAGCACCAGATGAGCAGATCTCTGTACCATCAGCTCGCAGAAACTCCAGAAACTCGACACGCTCGAGACGCCGCTCAGATCCAGAGCCAGGTGACGTGTTCTTCATCATCTTCATCATCATCAGATCTGAGCACTTATTAACGTGTTCTGCTCTTCCTCACGCGTGTGGCTGTGACCCAATCAGAGGCTGCGTTATAATCCAAGGCTTAAAGCATAGATCTGAGTTCTGTTCACACGTGTGCTACAATAATCGGATCTGTGTCAAATCATGTTTTTGTGCAAGTGTAAACGCAACCATGTAGTCCTGCTCTTCACAACTATGTGATCATGTGACTCTTCTTGTGATCATGTGTTTGTTGTGTGATCAGCTGCAGTACCAGCAGGGCCGGGCGTCAGTGACGGGCAGTAATCTGTTCTCCCTGATGCCAGAGACGCCGCAGAATGAGTTCGTGAAGCAGCAGATGGAGCTGCAGAGTGAGGTGAACCTCCGTGACCTCTGACCTCCGTGACCCTTTATGACCTCTGACCTCCGTGACCTCCGTAGATTCAGTCTTTACACAGAAACAGACACTCAGAATGTTCTGTCTGGAGCCTCTTTCACTCTTCATGTGTGTTTGTGTGTTTCAGCTGAAGTATAAAGCTGACCTGAAGGAAAACTCCAGGAATCTGTACTCACTGATGCCGGAGACGCTGGAGACGCAGTTCAGCAAACACACCGCAGACTTACAGAGCAACGTACGACACACACTCCAGCAATACGAGACACACACTCCAGCAATACAAGATTTAGTTGCAGAGCCACGTACGACACACTCCAACAATACGAGACACACACTCCAACAATACGAGACACACACTCCAGCAATACGAGACACACACTCCAGCAATACAAGATTTAGTTGCAGAGCCACGTACGACACACTCCAACAATACGAGACACACACTCCAACAATACGAGACACACACTCCAGCAATACGAGACACACACTCCAGCAATACAAGATTTAGTTGCAGAGCCACGTACGACACACTCCAACAATACGAGACACACACTCCAGCAATACGAGACACACACTCCAGCAATACGAGACACACACTCCAGCAATACAAGATTTAGTTGCAGAGCCACGTACGACACACTCCAACAATACGAGACACACACTCCAGCAATACGAGACACACACTCCAGCAATACGAGACACACACTCCAGCAATACGAGACACACACTCCAGCAATACGAGACACACACTCCAGCAATACGAGACACACACTCCAGCAATACGAGACACACACTCCAACAATACGAGACACACACTCCAACAATACGAGACACACACTCCAGCAATACGAGACACACACTCCAACAATACGAGACACACACTCCAACAATACGAGACACACACTCCAGCAATACGAGACACACACTCCAACAATACAAGACACACACTCCAGCAATACGAGACACACACTCCAACAATACGAGACACACACTCCAGCAATACGAGACACACACTCCAGCAATACGAGACACACACTCCAACAATACGAGACACACACTCCAACAATACGAGACACACACTCCAGCAATACGAGACACACACTCCAACAATACGAGACACACACTCCAACAATACGAGACACACACTCCAGCAATACGAGACACACACTCCAACAATACGAGACACACACTCCAGCAATACGAGACACACACTCCAACAATACGAGACACACACTCCAACAATACAAGACACACACTCCAGCAATACGAGACACACACTCCAACAATACGAGACACACACTCCAGCAATACGAGACACACACTCCAACAATACGAGACACACACTCCAGCAATACGAGACACACACTCCAGCAATACGAGACACACACTCCAGCAATACGAGACACACACTCCAACAATACGAGACACACACTCCAACAATACGAGACACACACTCCAGCAATACGAGACACACACTCCAACAATACGAGACACACACTCCAACAATACGAGACACACACTCCAGCAATACGAGACACACACTCCAACAATACGAGACACACACTCCAGCAATACGAGACACACACTCCAGCAATACGAGACACACACTCCAACAATACGAGACACACACTCCAGCAATACGAGACACACACTCCAGCAATACGAGACACACACTCCAGCAATACGAGACACACACTCCAGCAATACGAGACACACACTCCAACAATACGAGACACACACTCCAACAATACGAGACACACACTCCAGCAATACGAGACACACACTCCAACAATAAGAGACACACACTACAACAATACGAGACACACACTCCAACAATACGAGACACACACTCCAACAATACGAGACACACACTCCAACAATACGAGACACACACTCCAACAATACGAGACACACACTCCAGCAATACGAGACACACACTCCAACAATACGAGACACACACTCCAACAATACGAGACACACACTCCAGCAATACGAGACACACACTCCAACAATACGAGACACACACTCCAGCAATACGAGACACACACTCCAACAATACGAGACACACACTCCAACAATACGAGACACACACTCCAACAATACGAGACACACACTCCAACAATACGAGACACACACTCCAGCAATACGAGACACACACTCCAACAATACGAGACACACACTCCAACAATACGAGACACACACTCCAACAATACGAGACACACACTCCAACAATACGAGACACACACTCCAGCAATACGAGACACACACTCCAACAATACGAGACACACACTCCAACAATACGAGACACACACTCCAACAATACGAGACACACACTCCAACAATACGAGACACACACTCCAACAATACGAGACACACACTCCAGCAATACGAGACACACACTCCAGCAATACGAGACACACACTCCAACAATACGAGACACACACTCCAACAATACGAGACACACACTCCAGCAATACAAGACACACACTCCAGCAATACGAGACACACACTCCAACAATACGAGACACACACTCCAGCAATACGAGACACACACTCCAACAATACGAGACACACACTCCAACAATACGAGACACACACTCCAGCAATACGAGACACACACTCCAACAATACGAGACACACACTCCAACAATACAAGACACACACTCCAACAATACGAGACACACACTCCAACAATACGAGACACACACTCCAACAATACAAGACACACACTCCAACAATACGAGACACACACTCCAGCAATACAAGACACACACTCCAGCAATACGAGACACACACTCCAGCAATACGAGACACACACTCCAGCAATACAAGACACACACTCCAGCAATACAAGACACACACTCCAGCAATACGAGACACACACTCCAACAATACGAGACACACACTCCAACAATACGAGACACACACTCCAGCAATACGAGACACACACTCCAACAATACAAGACACACACTCCAACAATACGAGACACACACTCCAGCAATACAAGACACACACTCCAGCAATACGAGACACACACTCCAGCAATACGAGACACACACTCCAGCAATACAAGACACACACTCCAGCAATACAAGACACACACTCCAGCAATACGAGACACACACTCCAACAATACGAGACACACACTCCAACAATACGAGACACACACTCCAGCAATACGAGACACACACTCCAACAATACGAGACACACACTCCAACAATACGAGACACACACTCCAGCAATACGAGACACACACTCCAACAATACGAGACACACACTCCAGCAATACAAGACACACACTCCAGCAATACAAGACACACACTCCAGCAATACGAGACACACACTCCAACAATACGAGACACACACTCCAACAATACAAGACACACACTCCAGCAATACGAGACACACACTCCAACAATACAAGACACACACTCCAACAATACGAGACACACACTCCAACAATACGAGACACACACTCCAACAATACGAGACACACACTCCAACAATACGAGACACACACTCCAACAATACGAGACACACACTCCAACAATACAAGACACACACTCCAACAATACGAGACACACACTCCAACAATACGAGACACACACTCCAACAATACGAGACACACACTCCAACAATACAAGACACACACTCCAACAATACAAGACACACACTCCAACAATACGAGACACACACTCCAACAATTCGAGACACACACTCCAACAATACAAGACACACACTCCAGCAATACGAGACACACACTCCAACAATACGAGACACACACTCCAACAATACGAGACACACACTCCAGCAATACGAGACACACACTCCAACAATACGAGACACACACTCCAACAATACGAGACACACACTCCAACAATACAAGATTTAGTTGCAGAGCCACGTACGACACACTCCAACTATACAATCTTACAATCATTTCAGTGTTCAGGCCAGAGTTCCTCCAGTCAACATCATGACAAGCACGACTGATCCGCTGTGTGTGTGTGTGTGTGTGTGTACATGTGTGTGTGTGTGTGTATATGCGTGTGTGTCCTTGCATGTGTGTGTGTGTGTGTGTGTACATGTGTGTGTGTGTGTGTACGTGTGTGTGTGTGTGTACATGTGTGTGTGTACATGTGTGTGTGTGTGTACGTGTGTGTGTGTGTATATGCGTGTGTGTCCTTGCATGTGTGTCCATGTATGTGTACATGCGTGTGTGTGTGTGTGTACATGCGTGTGTGTGTGTACGTGTGTGTGTGTGTATATGCGTGTGTGTCCTTGCATGTGTGTCCATGTATGTGTACATGCGTGTGTGTGTGTGTGTACATGTGTGTGTGTGTGTGTGTACGTGTGTGTGTGTGTATATGCGTGTGTGTCCTTGCATGTGTGTCCATGTATGTGTACATGCGTGTGTGTGTGTGTGTACATGCGTGTGTGTGTGTACATGCGTGTGTGTGTACATGCGTGTGTGTGTGTGTGCATGCGTGTGTGTGTGTGTGTACATGCGTGTGTGTGTGTGTGTGTGTCCATGTGTGTGTACATGCGTGTGTGTGTGTGTGCATGCGTGTGTGTGTGTACATGCGTGTGTGTGCATATGCGTGTTTGTGTTTGTTTCTGTGTGCGTGTTTGCATGTGCCGTGTGTGTGTGTGTGTGTGTGTGTGTGTGTGTGTGTGTGTGCAGGTGAAGTATAAGGCTGATGCTCAGCACCAGATGAGCAGATCTCTGTACCATCAGCTCGCAGAAACTCCAGAAACTCGACACGCTCGAGACGCCGCTCAGATCCAGAGCCAGGTGACGTGTTCTTCATCATCTTCATCATCATCAGATCTGAGCATGTGTTCTGCTCTTCCTCACACGCGTGTGGCTGTAGCGTGACCTTCTTCTCCACTTCTTTATCAGGTGGCGTATAAAGGCATCAGGAAGGGCGATTTCTCTGGCTCCTCGTTCACTGCGGTTCCAGACTCGGCAGAGATGAAGTGTGTCCAGCAGATCTCACACACACTCAGTGAGGTGAAGCTCCATCTCAGATCTCACACACACACTCAGATCTCACACACACTCAGATCTCACACACACTCAGTGAGGTGAAGCTCCATCTCAGATCTCACACACACTCAGATCTCACACACACTCAGATCTCACACACACTCAGATCTCACACACACTCAGTGAGGTGAAGCTCCATCTCAGATCTCACACACACACTCAGATCTCACACACACTCCGTGAGGTGAAGCTCCATTTCAGATCTCACACACACTCAGATCTCACACACACTCCGTGAGGTGAAGCTCCATCTCAGATCTCACACACACTCAGTGAGGTGAAGCTCCATCTCAGATCTCACACTCAGATCTCACACACACTCAGATCTCACACACACTCAGATCTCACACACACTCCGTGAGGTGAAGCTCCATCTCAGATCTCACACACACTCAGATCTCACACACACTCCGTGAGGTGAAGCTCCATCTCAGATCTCACACACACTCAGTGAGGTGAAGCTCCATCTCAGATCTCACACACACTCAGATCTCACACACACTCAGATCTCACACACACTCAGTGAGGTGAAGCTCCATCTCAGATCTCACACACACTCAGTGAGGTGAAGCTCCATCTCAGATCTCACACACACTCAGATCTCACACACACTCAGATCTCACACACACTCAGTGAGGTGAAGCTCCATCTCAGATCTCACACACACTCAGATCTCACACACACTCCGTGAGGTGAAGCTCCATCTCAGATCTCACACTCAGATCTCACACACACTCAGATCTCACACACACTCAGATCTCACACACACTCAGATCTCACACACACTCAGTGAGGTGAAGCTCCATCTCAGATCTCACACACACACTCAGATCTCACACACACTCCGTGAGGTGAAGCTCCATTTCAGATCTCACACACACTCAGATCTCACACACACTCCGTGAGGTGAAGCTCCATCTCAGATCTCACACACACTCAGTGAGGTGAAGCTCCATCTCAGATCTCACACTCAGATCTCACACACACTCAGATCTCACACACACTCAGATCTCACACACACTCCGTGAGGTGAAGCTCCATCTCAGATCTCACACACACTCAGATCTCACACACACTCCGTGAGGTGAAGCTCCATCTCAGATCTCACACACACTCAGTGAGGTGAAGCTCCATCTCAGATCTCACACACACTCAGATCTCACACACACTCAGATCTCACACACACTCAGTGAGGTGAAGCTCCATCTCAGATCTCACACACACTCAGATCTCACACACACTCCGTGAGGTGAAGCTCCATCTCAGATCTCACACTCAGATCTCACACACACTCAGATCTCACACACACTCAGTGAGGTGAAGCTCCATCTCAGATCTCACACACACTCAGATCTCACACACACTCAGATCTCACACACACTCAGTGAGGTGAAGCTCCATCTCAGATCTCACACACACTCAGATCTCACACACACTCCGTGAGGTGAAGCTCCATTTCAGATCTCACACACACTCAGATCTCACACACACTCAGATCTCACACACACTGATCTCACACACACTCAGATCTCACACACACTCAGATCTCACACACACTCAGTGAGGTGAAGCTCCATCTCAGATCTCACACACACTCAGATCTCACACACACTCCGTGAGGTGAAGCTCCATTTCAGATCTCACACACACTCAGATCTCACACACACTCAGATCTCACACACACACTCAGATCTCACACACACTCAGATCTCACACACACTCAGTGAGGTGAAGCTCCATCTCAGATCTCACACACACTCAGATCTCACACACACTCAGATCTCACACACACTCAGATCTCACACACACTCAGATCTCACACACACTCAGTGAGGTGAAGCTCCATCTCAGATCTCACACACACTCAGATCTCACACACACACTCAGATCTCACACACACTCAGATCTCACACACACTCAGTGAGGTGAAGCTCCATCTCAGATCTCACACACACTCAGATCTCACACACACTCAGATCTCACACACACTCAGATCTCACACACACTCAGATCTCACACACACTCAGTGAGGTGAAGCTCCATCTCAGATCTCACACACACTCAGATCTCACACACACTCAGATCTCACACACACTCAGATCTCACACACACTCAGATCTCACACACACTCAGATCTCACACACACTTAGTGAGGTGAAGCTCCATCTCAGATCTCACACACACTCAGATCTCACACACACTCAGATCTCACACACACTCAGATCTCACACACACTCTGTGTGCTTGTGTGTTTCAGAGCGAGTACCGTGAGGAGGGCAGGAGGAGCCTCTCGTCCAGCGTTTACTCTCAGCTGTCCGAGACTCCAGAGACGCAGTTCGTCAGATCCGTGTCGGATCTGCAGAGCGAGGCGAGAAGAACCCCCTCAGCCGTTCAAAACCACAGTCACTACATCTGCCTTTCTCAAGCTTGATAAAAAATGAATAATTATAAAAAAATGATTGAATAAAATTAATAATTAATTAAATCCTAAACATGTGAAATAAAACTAATTTAAAACGAACAAATTCAAACTTTAAATAATTAAATAATTAAAATAATAATTAAATACATCGTAAACATTTCAAATTGAAATAAACAAATAATTTTAAAATTGAATCAAAATAAAACACTTATTAATAATTAATTAAATATAAACCTGTAAAATTAAACTAAAAACAAAATAAAACTCTTAATAATAATGAATTAAATCATAAACATGTAAAATGAAGAAAATTAAAAATAAAATAAATCAAAATAAATTACATATAAATAATTAATTAAATCAAAAACGTAAAAATGTATATAAACAAATAATAGTCAAATTAATCAAAATAAATGTAAATCTTAATAATCAATTGAATCATAAATATCAAAATAAAACCCTTTTTTAAGCAACATTAAATATTTTATTTGTTTAACTGCATGTCATGTGACCATTAACTGCTATCAGAGAACATGTGAAAGATAACATGGTAATCAATTATTGAAATATCAACTCAAAAACTTCGCTTCGACTGATAAAGAGAGTTTCTGTGTGTGTTTCCTTCAGGTGAAATATAAGCAGCCGGTGACCGGCTCGCTGTACGCCACCCTGCCCGAGACGCTGGACACGCAACACGCTAAACACGCCACTGACATCATCAGTGAGGTAGTGTGACGCTGCAAACACGCGTGTGAAGCTCGCTGTACAAACACTAGAAGAGCTGGTTGTTTGTGTTCAGGTGAAGTACCGAGAGGACGGCAGAGGGAGTTTATCGAGCCCGCTCTTCACTCGCCTGCCGCAGACACTGCAGACGCAGACGGCTCGAGACATCGCAGACGCGCAGAGCCAGGTGACGTCAAGCGCACTCAGTACACTATAGTGCCACAAGTAATTTGGGACACCCCTCTAAATCCTTGAATTCAGGTGTTCCAATCACTTCCATGGCCAGTGGCCACAGTTGTATAAAATCAAGCACTGGGCATGCAGACACTTTTACAAATCCTGACTGCATTGTGCCAAGTGTAAAGTTTGGTGGGGGAGGGGAGGGGGGACTACGGTGTGGGGTTGTTTGGTGGAGGGAGATTATGGTGTGGGGTTGTTAGGTGGAGGGAGATTATGGTGTGGGGTTGTTAGGTGGAGGGAGATTATGGTGTGGGGTTGTTAGGTGGAGGGGGGACTACGGTGTGGGGTTGTTAGGTGGAGGGAGATTATGGTGTGGGGTTGTTAGGTGGAGGGGGGACTACGGTGTGGGGTTGTTAGGTGGAGGGAGATTATGGTGTGGGGTTCTTAGGTGGAGGGGGACTACGGTGTGGGGTTGTTAGGTGGAGGGAGATTATGGTGTGGGGTTGTTAGGTGGAGGGGGGACTACGGTGTGGGGTTGTTTGGTGGAGGGAGATTATGGTGTGGGGTTGTTAGGTGGAGGGGGGACTACGGTGTGGGGTTGTTAGGTGGAGGGAGATTATGGTGTGGGGTTGTTAGGTGGAGGGGGGACTACGGTGTGGGGTTGTTAGGTGGAGGGAGATTATGGTGTGGGGTTCTTAGGTGGAGGGGGACTACGGTGTGGGGTTGTTAGGTGGAGGGAGATTATGGTGTGGGGTTGTTAGGTGGAGGGGGGACTACGGTGTGGGGTTGTTTGGTGGAGGGAGATTATGGTGTGGGGTTGTTAGGTGGAGGGGGGACTACGGTGTGGGGTTGTTAGGTGGAGGGAGATTATGTTGATTATGATGTGATTTGAACGTTGATTATGATGTGTGAATGTGTGTGTTCTGCAGGTCAGATATAAGCAGAAGGACGATCAGGCCAGTCTGTATTCACTCCTGCCTCAGACCGCAGACACACTGTTCGCCAGTCACATGACCGACATCCAGAGCCAGGTAACACTGTTGAACACAGGACTATGACATCACTATGACATCACTATGGCCACATCCACACCCACACGAAGCCAGAGCCCCCCCCCCCCTCGTTCTAAAAACAAATTCTGTGAACACAGCGTCGTCTCAGGAAATATCTGCATACCGTATTTTCCGCACTATACGGCGCACCGGATTATAAGGCGCACCTTCAATGAATGACCTATTTTAGAACATTTTTCATATATAGGGCGCACCGGATTATAAGGCGCATAAGATACTGCAGTCAAACGTTTGACTGGGTTTGCGTTATGCATCCACTAGATGTCAACAAATGTCAACAAAACAGTCAGATAAAGTCAAACTTTATTAAGCGTTCTGACAACTCCGTTCACTCCCATGGTAACGTTGTTCAAACGTTAAAGGAAAACTCCGGTCAATTTTAACATTGAGCTCATTTTTTGTAAATTTGGAGTGCTGTCAGTACAGATAACAACGACAAAAACCGGTGTTCCCTACACCGTGTTATCCTCTTTTTAATTTGCACCCTGTTGACCTAAACGGGAAAAGTTTTAAACCTGCTTTTAGCCTCTTAACAACCTTAATGTGTCATTACAAGTGCACAGCCATGTGAGTGAACACGGTGAATCTGACTGCACATACCCGTATTTTCTTCCTGTTTTCGGTCGAAGTCCACAGTAGGCGATTGTCGAGTGCGCGCGCGCGATCATTGGTAGCTAACTAAGCAACAGTGGAGACTCGGACTGTCAGCCGATGACGGTGCTGTGTGGTGTTCTGAGAATATCAGCTCAAATGGATAGTTCATCCGAATCAGATGTTGAACACACGGAGGAAGTTTGATCGTGCGCGCGAACTCGACAATCAACTACTGTGGACTACTTCCGAAAACAGGAAGTAAATACGGGTATGTGAGCCGGCTGAATAAAGAGATTATTCCTGCATTCGTGAAAGCTCGGATCACAGTTGAGACTGATATATCAGCCCAGGCATCCACGATCCATTGACAGATAGTGGCGTAAGTCGCCCGGCGCTGTCTCCCCGTCTTGGTGAACGTGTGTTCACCATCCATATATAAGGCGCTCCGCATTATAAGGCGCACTGTCGTTTTTTGAGAAAATTAAAGGCTTTTAAGTGCGCCTTATAGTGCGGAAAATACGGTACATGCATGCCAGACCAGCGTGTGGCGCTGTAAATCTGCCACAGAGATACACTAAAAACAGGGAAGACGACTTGGAGCATGTGCATAAACCTTGCGCTGTATACAATAATAATAGGCTCAGTTGCTTCTTCTCTTTTCTTCTTTTTTTTTTTTACCAAGAACTTTATTGAACAATATAAACAACCATAAATTGCCTGGCACAAATTATGAAATGTCTTAATCAGACAACAAACAAGCATCATAGCATAAGAAAGAAAATATAAATAAATAAAGAAGTAAAATAAAGAATTCTTTTACGTATACAGCTAAACGCGTCTCCGGATTTAGATTCAAAACCTGCATTTTCTTCTCATATTTTTGTCATTCTTTCTTTTGATTTGGAAACTTGATGCAGTTCTACGGATGTTTTGCCCTCAGGTCACATGACTGAAATGATGAATTGCTCATATTTTTTCCTGAAGTGAAGTTGATCATGTTTGTGCTTGTGTTTTCAGCTTCAGTACAAGCATGACGGGAAGAAGGAGTCCGAGAGTAACTTATACAGCCTGATGCCACACACAATGGAGACCGAACACGCTAAACACGCCTGCCAGCTGCAGAGTCACGTATGTGTCAGACCATGAGCACACGCGTGTCCCTGAACATGTGATGAGGAAACGTGTGTGTCCACAGCAGATCACGTGATCAGATCATGAGCACACGCGTGTCCCTGAACATGTGATGAGGAAGCGTGTGTGTCCACAGCAGATCACGTGATCAGATCATGAGCACACGCGTGTCCCTGAACATGTGATGAGGAAGCGTGTGTCGACAGCAGATCACGTGATCAGATCTTGAGCACACGCCTGTCCCTGAACATGTGATGAGGAAGCGTGTGTCAACAGCAGATCACGTGATCAGATCTTGAGCACACGCGTGTCCCTGAACATGTGATGAGGAAGCGTGTGTCCACAGCAGATCCCGGGATCAGATCATGAGCACACGCGTGTCCCTGAACATGTGATGAAGAAACGTGTGTGTCGACAGCAGATCCCGGGATCAGATCATGAGCACACGCGTGTCTCTGAACATGTGATGAAGAAACGTGTGTGTCGACAGCAGATCACGTGATCAGATCATGAGCACACGCGTGTCCCTGAACATGTGAGGAAGCGTGTGTGTCCACAGCAGATCACGTGATCCGATCATGAGCACATGCGTGTCCCTGAACATGTGATGAGGAAACGTTTGTGTCAACAGCAGATCCCGGGATCAGATCATGAGCACATGCGTGTCCCTGAACATGTGATGAGGAAGCGTGTGTCGACAGCAGATCCCGGGATCAGATCATGAGCACACGCGTGTCCCTGAACATGTGATGAGGAAGCGTGTGTCCACAGGAGATCACGTGATCAGATCATGAGCACACGCGTGTCCCTGAACATGTGATGAGGAAGCGTGTGTGTCCACAGGAGATCACGTGATCAGATCATGAGCACACGCGTGTCCCTGAACATGTGATGAAGAAACGTGTGTCGACAGCAGATCCCGGGATCAGATCATGAGCATATGCGTGTCCCTGAACATGTGATGAGGAAGCGTGTGTGTCCACAGGAGATCACGTGATCAGATCATGAGCACACGCGTGTCCCTGAACATGTGATGAGGAAACGTGTGTCGACAGCAGATCCCGGGATCAGATCATGAGCACACGCGTGTCCCTGAACATGTGATGAGGAAGCGTGTGTCGACAGCAGATCCCGGGATCAGATCATGAGCACATGCGTGTCCCTGAACATGTGATGAGGAAGCGTGTGTGTCCACAGGAGATCATGTGATCAGATCATGAGCACACGCGTGTCCCTGAACATGTGATGAAGAAACGTGTGTGTCGACAGCAGATCCCGGGATCAGATCATGAGCACACGCGTGTCTCTGAACATGTGATGAAGAAACGTGTGTGTCGACAGCAGATCACGTGATCAGATCATGAGCACACGCGTGTCCCTGAACATGTGAGGAAGCGTGTGTGTCCACAGCAGATCACGTGATCCGATCATGAGCACATGAGTGTCCCTGAACATGTGATGAAGAAACGTTTGTGTCCACAGCAGATCCCGGGATCAGATCATGAGCACACGCGTGTCCCTGAACATGTGATGAGGAAGCGTGTGTCCACAGGAGATCACGTGATCAGATCATGAGCACACGCGTGTCCCTGAACATGTGATTAGGAAGCTTGTGTGTCCACAGGAGATCACGTGATCAGATCATGAGCACACGCGTGTCCCTGAACATGTGATGAAGAAACGTGTGTGTCCACAGCAGATCCCGGGATCAGATCATGAGCACACGCGTGTCCCTGAACATGTGATGAGGAAGCGTGTGTGTCCACAGGAGATCACGTGATCAGATCATGAGCACACGCGTGTCCCTGAACATGTGATGAGGAACCGTGTGTCGACAGCAGATCACGTGATCAGATCATGAGCACACGCGTGTCCCTGAACATGTAATGAAGAAACGTGTGTGTCCACAGCAGATCCCGGGATCAGATCATGAGCACACGCGTGTCCCTGAACATGTGAGGAAGCGTGTGTGTCCACAGCAGATCCCGGGATCAGATCATGAGCACACGCGTGTCCCTGAACATGTGATGAGGAAGCGTGTGTCCACAGGAGATCACGTGATCAGATCATGAGCACACGCGTGTCCCTGAACATGTGATGAGGAAGCGTGTGTGTCCACAGGAGATCACGTGATCAGATCATGAGCACACGCGTGTCCCTGAACATGTGATGAAGAAACGTGTGTGTCCACAGCAGATCCCGGGATCAGATCATGAGCACACGCGTGTCCCTGAACATGTGATGAGGAAGCGTGTGTGTCCACAGGAGATCACGTGATCAGATCATGAGCACACGCGTGTCCCTGAACATGTGATGAGGAACCGTGTGTCGACAGCAGATCACATGATCAGATCATGAGCACACGCGTGTCCCTGAACATGTAATGAAGAAACGGTGTGTCCACAGCAGATCCCGGGATCAGATCATGAGCACACGCGTGTCCCTGAACATGTGATGAGGAAGCGTGTGTCGACAGCAGATCACGTGATCAGATCATGAGCACACGCGTGTCCCTGAACATGTGATGAGGAAGCGTGTGTCCACAGCAGATCACGTGATCAGATCATGAGCACATGCGTGTCCCTGAACATGTGATGAAGAAACGTTTGTGTCCACAGCAGATCCCGGGATCAGATCATGAGCACACGCGTGTCCCTGAACATGTGATGAGGAAGCGTGTGTGTCCACAGGAGATCACGTGATCAGATCATGAGCACACGCGTGTCCCTGAACATGTAATGAGGAAGCGTGTGTCGACAGCAGATCACGTGATCAGATCTTGAGCACACGCGTGTCCCTGAACATGTGATGAGGAAGCGTGTGTCCACAGCAGATCACGTGATCAGATCATGAGCACACGCGTGTCCCTGAACATGTGATGAAGAAGCGTGTGTCGACAGCAGATCACGTGATCAGATCATGAGCACACGCGTGTCCCTGAACATGTGATGAGGAAGCGTGTGTCCACAGCAGATCACATGATCAGATCATGAGCACATGCGTGTCCCTGAACATGTGATGAAGAAGCGTGTGTCCACAGGAGATCACGTGATCAGATCATAAGCACACGCGTGTCCCTGAACATGTGATGAGGAAGCGTGTGTCCACAGGAGATCACGTGATCAGATCATGAGCACACGCGTGTCCCTGAACATGTAATGAGGAAGCGTGTGTCGACAGCAGATCACGTGATCAGATCTTGAGCACACGCGTGTCCCTGAACATGTGATGAGGAAGCGTGTGTCCACAGCAGATCACGTGATCAGATCATGAGCACACGCGTGTCCCTGAACATGTGATGAAGAAGCCTGTGTCGACAGCAGATCACGTGATCAGATCATGAGCACACGCGTGTCCCTGAACATGTGATGAGGAAGCGTGTGTCCACAGCAGATCACGTGATCAGATCATGAGCACATGCGTGTCCCTGAACATGTGATGAAGAACCGTGTGTGTCCACAGGAGATCACGTGATCAGATCATGAGCACACGCGTGTCCCTGAACATGTAATGAGGAAGCGTGTGTCCACAGCAGATCACGTGATCAGATCTTGAGCACACGCGTGTCCCTGAACATGTGATGAGGAAGCGTGTGTCCACAGCAGATCACGTGATCAGATCATGAGCACACGCGTGTCCCTGAACATGTGATGAAGAAGCGTGTGTCGACAGCAGATCACGTGATCAGATCATGAGCACACGCGTGTCCCTGAACATGTGATGAGGAAGCGTGTGTCCACAGCAGATCACGTGATCAGATCATGAGCACATGCGTGTCCCTGAACATGTGATGAAGAAGCGTGTGTGTCGACAGCAGATCACGTGATCAGATCTTGAGCACACGCGTGTCCCTGAACATGTGATGAGGAAGCGTGTGTCCACAGCAGATCACGTGATCAGATCATGAGCACACGCGTGTCCCTGAACATGTGATGAAGAAACGTGTGTGTCCACAGCAGATCCCGGGATCAGATCATGAGCACACCCGTGTCCCTGAACATGTGATGAAGAAACGTGTGTGTCCACAGCAGATCACGTGATCAGATCATGAGCACACGCGTGTCCCTGAACATGTGATGAAGAAACTTGTGTGTCCACAGCAGATCCCGGGATCAGATCATGAGCACACGCGTGTCCCTGAACATGTGATGAGGAAGCGTGTGTTTCCACAGCAGATCACGTGATCAGATCATGAACACACGCGTGTCCCTGAACATGTGATGAGGAAGCGTGTGTTGACAGCAGATCACGTGATCAGATCTTGAGCACACGCGTGTCCCTGAACATGTGATGAGGAAGCGTGTGTCCACAGCAGATCACATGATCAGATCATGAGCACACGCGTGTCCCTGAACATGTGATGAAGAAGCGTGTGTCGACAGCAGATCACGTGATCAGATCATGAGCACACGCGTGTCCCTGAACATGTGATGAGGAAGCGTGTGTCCACAGCAGATCACGTGATCAGATCATGAGCACACGCGTGTCCCTGAACATGTTATGAGGAAGCGTGTGTCCACAGCAGATCACATGATCAGATCATGAGCACATGCGTGTCCCTGAACATGTGATGAAGAAGCGTGTGTCCACAGGAGATCACGTGATCAGATCATGAGCACACGCGTGTCCCTGAACATGTGATGAGGAAGCGTGTGTGTGTTTTACATGCAGGTGAAATATAAAGAGCAGAGCCGAACGGATGGGTGTCTTTACGCTCTTCTGCCCGAGACTCGAGACACGCAACACGCTAAGCACGCGTCAGAGCTGCGCAGTGAGGTTCGTACCGCACAGGTCACGTGTTCACACACACACACACACACGCGTGATCATGAACATCTGTTTCTCTCAGCTGAAGTACAGAGAGGACGGGAAGAAGGATCAGGCCTCATCGCTGTTCTCTCAGATGATCAACACTGCAGAGACTCAACGGCTCCGAGAGATCAGCGCACTGCAGAGTCAGGTGTGTGTGTGTGTATTTGTGTGCGTGTGTGTGTGTGTGTGTGTGTGTGTGTGAGTGTGAGTCTGTGTGTGTGTGAGTGTGTGTGTGTGTGTGTGTGTGTGTGAGTGTGTCCAGGCGCTGGTCCTTCATCAGATCTGGTCTTCATCCTAATCTATGCAGCCTAACATTGAATTATCGAAGTCTATAGTGTGTTATAGTAGGCCAAAGAGATGTGTTTTTAGTCTAGCTTTGAACTGACAGAGTGTGTCTGCTTCCCGGACAATGGTAGGAAGACTGTTCCAGAGTTTGGGTGCTAAATAGGAAAAGGATCTCCCGCCAGCAGTCGATTTAGATATTCTAGGTATTATCAACTGGCCGGAGTTTTGAGATCGCAATAGACGTGAAGGACTATAATGCGTTAAGAGCTCGCTCAAGTACTGCGGAGCTAAGCCATTTAGTGCTTTATAAGTAATCATGGAGTGTGATGTGTTAGAGTGTGTGTGTGTTTCAGGTTCAGTATAAGACTGAAGGACAGAAGCTCAGGAGCTCCAGTCTTTATTCTCAGATGCCAGAGACTCCAGAGACGCAGTTCGTGAAGACGGTCACTGAACTCCAGAGCGACGTGAGTGTGTGTGTGTGTGCTGACGTCACACGACCTGATGTGTGTGTGTGTGCGTGTGTGTGCTGACGTCACACGACCTGATGTGTGTGTGTGTGCGTGTGTGTGCTGACGTCACACGACCTGATGTGTGTGTGTGTGCGTGTGTGTGCTGACGTCACACGACCTGATGTGTGTGTGTGTGTGTGTGTGTGCTGA